TTAATAAAATCTCCAGTTTATAACATCTGTAAAATTTATAATAGTTTCTATTCAGAATGTGATATTTTTGTTGTTCCACTTGGACGCCTCAAGTATATAATTCGTAACAAGCTATTTTCTATGCAAGTTGAACTAGAATCTGATTTCAACCCATAAGTGAAATACTGTGTTTCAACTCTCTGCACACTGCCAATTCTATTAGAATTCGACAGTATATGTTTTTTTTTATTATTATATGCATGTATTGCTGTTTGTATAATATCTATACTACTCTATTACTCTGCTGATTTTATATGCTATTTGTTATATTCCATTGTATTCATACTTAGTCATAGCTGTAAACTCAATTATATTTGTCATGTAATTGAGATTACTTACTCCTGTTAGACAATAAACTTTTTTTAAGGTACATTCTGTAGGATTAGTTAGAAAAAAGTTTCAAAGTTAAATGAAAAATAAGACAATTTACTAAGACTAATACATTAATTGAATTTTTCATTTTATTATTCAATCATTTCCTGAAGGGAGTATTAGGTTTTCTGTAGTAGGAAAGACTTGAGTCTAATTTTGAAGCTGTGGATAGTACTAGAGTTTTTCAGTTCAAGTGGTAGCAGTTTAAATAATCTGAGCCCTATTACATTTGCAGGTGTTTTCAGTCGCAGACCCAGGACAGAGCTATCTACCTGCCTAGGAACTTATGCGACTGTATTTCAAGCGGAAATTTACGCTATTGAATTGTGTGCATTCACAAGTCAATAAAAATATTCTCGGACAGCCAAGCGGCGTTTGAAGCTCTTGGCTCCTACCGAGCAACGTCTAAATTGGTAGCAAACTGCCAAAAACGACTCTCCTCGATAGGAAGACTTAACAGATTGCATCTGGTCTGGATTCCTGGCCTGAATAGGTGTGAGCCACAATAAATCCTTGCGGGTTGCGGTGGAGGGTCGAATAGACCCACTCACTTTGGACCTACCTACCTACCTACCTATTACATTGGGGGAATTGTAAGTCAGTGCATTTTTACATTATGGCATATGAAAGTCTGTCTTACACCTGGTATCAATAGAATGCACATTTTCATTTCTTATGAACCAGTTACGGTTATCATATATAAAAACACATGATTCGAATATATACAGGCATGGCAATGTTAGTATTTCTAAATTTAAAAAAATACTTGTACAGCTTGTATTTCTTGAGACTCCTGCTATACATCTTATAATCTTTTTCTGGGCGACAAAAACATCTTTGCATGAAAAGGAAGCTCCCCAGAAAGTAATACTATACCGAAGACGCGATTCGACTCGAGCATGATACAGCATAATCAGCTGTTTTTGGTCTAAAATAGTACACAGGTTTCTCAGAAGATTATTCATGGAGTTCAATTTTGATATAACTGTTCCACAATGAGTTTTCCAGCTGAGAAATTCATCCAAGTGTACACCTAAAAATTTCACCGTAGAGCACGGAGAAATTTCATCATCTTCAATTTGCAAGTTGAATCTGGCTATTTCTTTTTGTCTAGCATGAAATCTTATCAAACGTGTTTTTTGATTATTCAAATGTAGGGAATTTTCCTTGAACCAGGTGTTTAATTTTTGCAGGATTAAGTTACCTTTGGTTTGTAGATTTTGATCTATTTTATCTGATATAACCAGTGATGTGTCATCTGCATATAGTGTAAAATGAGCATATGTAGAGATGGATTCCATATTAT